TCAGGAGCCTTACATCAGCAACAATAAGATAAGGAAAGTTAAGAGAAATAAGAGGTAAGAAGAGAGAATATTCTCCATAAGAGTATTTTGGCCATCAAGAGTGCTTTGATAACTGTGAGATGCTCTTGATCCAAGGAAATGGAATTTTCCACCTTTTTCTTGGATCAAACCTAATTGACTCACACCAGCTGCTGTTTGAACCGTGCGGGTTTAGGCATAATATACTGATAATAATAATTATTATTTTATACACTCAAAGGTCCCTGAGGGCCACTCGGAGGTCCTGCGAAGCCCGAGCCACTTCTGTCTCCTGGGGCCTAATATAAAAAAAAACAGATTGCATTAAATAAAAATGAAAATTTCAATATTAAGTTTCTCTCTGTCTCTGCCTCTGTCTGTTTCTGTCTGTCTGTCTCTGTCTCTCTCTGTCTCTCCCTGTCTCTCTCTCTGTTTCTCTCTGTCTCTGTTTGTCTGTCTCTCTCTGTCTCTGTCTCTCTCTCTCTCTCTCTCTCTCTCTCTCTCTCTCTCTCTCTCTCTCTCTCTCTCTCTCTCTGCAATATGAGTAAATTATAGCTTTTGTGAATTTTCTCTCGCATATGATATTTCACACAAAAATTGTTCATTAAAATCCATAAATTTATTCACTCTTACTCCAGCTTAATGTTTTTAAACTATACAGGAAAATCGGAGAATTTCTTATTATTTTTTTGTCTCATAATGACCTTTGGTAATTCTTTATCATCTCCATCTATCATATCATCTTTATCTCTGCCATCAACTGGATCCACAGGTGCTGTTACACAGACAAAACAATATACACAGTAGTACCTAAATGGTATGCGATACCGACAGTAAGAAGAATTGTACTGATAAAACCACTGGTTGGTCAAACGTCTACAAATAGATACCCAGATGTTTTGCATGTTTAATTCTTCAATATTGAAAGTAAGAGACTACACAATATGATAAGAGACAACACGGTAAGTGTCAGGGGTCCAAAACTGTTCATCTGCCTCCTGGCATACATAACGGGGGTTACAAATAGATCACTGGCTGTCTTTAAGGTGCTGGACAGGCACCTAAAGTCAGTACCTGACCAGCTGGGCTGTGGTTCATACGCTGGATTGCGTGCAGCCAGCAGTAATGGCCTGGTTGATCAGGCCCTGATCCACCATGAGGCCTGGTCACAAACCAAGCCGTGGGAGCGTTGACCCCAAGGACTATCCAGGTATACTCCAGGTATAGTGCAATTATCTAGGGCAGAGGTAGAAGCACTAGCTAGTTCAGTCCAGTGGGCTCTTGCTGCATTGCATAGAATTATAAACTTACTGGCATAAATGTCTTGGAAAAGGACTTGTAGTACGCTATCGACGCAGTGAAAGTTAATAAGATATTAATGCTATGGATTTTGAAAATAACAGTTAAGGAGGTTAAAAAACTTTTAAACATAACACACACACACACACACACACACACACACACACACACACACACACAACACACACACACACACACCACACACACACGCGCGCGCGCACACACGCACACACGCACACACGCACACACGCACACACACACACACACACACACACACACAACACACACACATATATATATACACACACTAATATATATATATATATATTATATATATATATATATAATATATATATTATATAATATATATATATATAATCACAGTAAAACAGGTGTATCACAATATGCAAAACAACCACTGTGAAATAAAAACGAAATTCCAAGCACTTTCGTAACTTCTCACATTAGAAACAACGAACACAGAATCTGTTTGGCTACAGTTTCTCGAGGGTCGTGACAGATTAATTTTGGATGTGATTTATAGGCCCCCAAACCTTGATAAGGAGTGCAGTAAGCTGTAATGGGACGAAATTCACAAGGCACCTAGATATGAAAATGTGATAATGGGAGATTTTAACATTTGACAAATTGATTGGAACAATATGACAGGAAATCTTGAGTCTAGTGACTTTCTTGATACGGTTCAGGATTGCTTTTTAGAACAGGTTGAGACAGAACCAACTAGAGGAAACAATCTGCTTGACTTGGTTCTTCCCAACAGAGATTCACTAATTAATAATCTTGAGGTTAATGATGAGCTTGGGGAAAGTGATCATAAATCACTTAGTTTCAATACATCATGGAGTTACCCAGATAACTGCAATCAAATCTCTGTCCCAGATTTTCGCTTGGCCGACTTCATGGGACTGAAAAATTACCTGGGTGGGCTAAATTGTGATGCCCTGACTATGGGTCAGGTAGGTGATCTTGGTTGCTAATATGACGTTTTTCAGAGCATAGTTCTAGCTGCCCAGACATCTTTTGTTCAGAGTAGAGAAATTAGATCTAACAAAAATGATCCTAAATGGATGAGCAATAGATTAAAACATCTCATTGATCAAAAGAGAGGCATATATAGGCGTATCAAGAGAGGGGATGGGCAGTTAAGAAATAAATATATTCAATTAAAGAGAGAAATAAAGAAATGAATAAGAAAGGCAAAAAGGGATTATGAGGCTAAGGTCCCAAGGGATTCAAAGACTAACCCAAAAGGGTTCTTTCAGGTGTACAGAAGTAAGATTAGTGACAAGATTGGCCCACTTAAGAGTAACTCTGGTTAGATCACTGACAGTGATAAGGATATGTGTGAAATTCTCAATACCTACTTCCTCTCAGTTTTCACCCAGGAAAATACTAGCGATATTCCTGAAATAATAGATTCTGTAGAACAGGACAATAAACTATTCACGATTGCGGCAACTAGTGACATGGTCCTAAGACAAATAAACTAAAACCTAACAAATCCCCAGGTCCTGATGAACTGTTTACAAGGGTATTAAAGGAATGTAAAGAGGAAATTAGCATACCTTTGACTAATCGTTTTAACATATCACTACAAACTGACATAGTGCCTGATAAGTGAAAAATGGCAAATGTAATACCTATTTACAAGGCAGGTGACAGGTCCTTGTCTTCGAACTATAGACCACCAAGCCTTACCTCCACAGTGGGAAAATTTATGGAATCAATAATTGCCGAAGCAATTTGTAGCCATCTTGACAGGCACAGATTGATTAATGAATCTCAACACGGTTTTACAAAGGGGCGTTCCTGTCTTAGGAATTTACTAACATTTTTCACTAAGGTGTTTGAAGAGGTAGATCACGGTAATGAATATGATATTGTGTATATGGACTTCAGTAAGGTTTTCGATAGAGTTCCACACCAGAGGCTATTGAGGTAACTTAAGGCACACGGAATAGGAGGAGAAATTTTTTCCAGGGTAGAGGCATGGCTGACAAATAGACAGCGGAGAGTTTGCATAAATGGGGAGAAATCAGAATGGGGGCAGGTCACAAGCGGTGTTCCTCAGGGGTCAGTGTTGGACCCGTTGTTGTTCACAATTTACGTAAACGACATAGATGAGGGAGTAAATAGCGACATAAGCAAATTTGCTGAGGACACCAAAATAGGCCGTCCAATTCATTCTAATGAGGACACTATTGCACTCCAGGATGATTTGAATAGACTGATGTAATGGTCGGAGAAGTGGCAGTTTAATATTGACAAATGCAAAGTTCTAAATGTTGGACAGGGAAATAACCATGCGACTTATAAACTAAATAATGTAGATCTTAACACTACTGATGGCGAAAAGGATTTAGGAGTTCTGGTTAGCAGTAATCTAAAACCAAGACAACAGTGCATTAGTGTTCGCAATAAAGATAACAGAATTCTTGGCTTCATATCTAGAAGTATAAATAATAGAAGTCCTCAGGTTGTTCTTCTACTCTATATATCCTTGGTTAGGCCTCATTTAGACTATGCTGCTCAGTTCTGGTCACCGTATTACAGAATGGATATAAATGCTTTGGAAAACGTACAAAGGAGGATGACAAAGATGATCCATGTATCAGAAAAACTTCCTATGAGGATAGACTGAGGGCCCTGAATCTGCACTCTCTCGAAAGGTGTAGAATTAGGGGGGATATGATCGAAGTGTATAAATGGAAAACAGGAATAAATAAAGGGGATGCAAATAGCGTGTTGAATATTTCCAGCCAAGACAGGAGACGCAGCAATGGTTTCAAGTTGGAAAAATACAGATTCAGGAAGGATATAGCAAAGCACTGGTTTGGTAATAGAGTTGTGGATGAGTGGAACAAACTCCCGAGTACAGTTATTCAGGCTAAAACGTTGTGTAGTTTTAAAAATAGGTTAGATAAATACATGAGTGGGTGTGGGTTAGTGTGAGTTGGACCTGACTAGCTTGTGCTGCTAGGTCTGGTGCCGTGCTCCTTTCTTGAGTGGAGGTGGCCAGACTGGGTGGGTCATTGGGCTAATCCGGGGGGATGGACGTGGACGTGCTCAGCATGGGTCAGTAGGCCTGTTGCAGTGTTCCTTCTTTCTTATGCTCTTATTATCAAGGAACTATGAAGAACAACATCAACAAGAAGGCATATGGACCTCAGAGTCAAGTCACCAGTCTAGTTGTGGTGCCTTGATTGTGAGATGTAGTCTTGCCCCTTTATATGCCTTCCTATTGATACTTTGCTTTTTATAGTTCCTTAATAATGTGAGAAGTCACGAAAGCGCTTGCAATTTGGCTATCTTTTTCACAGTGGTTATATTATATATATATATATATATATATATATAATATATATATATATATTATATATATATATATATATATATATATATATATATATATATTAATCTTCTGTAACCTTGTAATCATTATAACAGCTTGACAAAGCTCCTGGAGAGCGAAACGTTGCCTAAATAAAATGTCACATTAGTTGCATCCGTGTCATTTACCTAACATTTTGTCAGTAATTCTACCATTAATACTAATTACACAACTAATCGTAGCGAAGGAAACTAGTCAAGCGAGTTAATATTGGTTGCATGTGCAAGAAATGCTGATACTGTTGCAGTAACTGAGACAGTTTATTTTTCAGAGTCGGGACGTGCATGCTGCGTGCGTCCCATTCAGTTGTTGAATATTCCACGTTGGCAGAAATAATTGGAATCGGGCCCATAGCCAGGCTTACGCCTTTAACGTATGGTTTTCACTTAACGCTTTACCATTCAATTCCATGACTGGAACAATTCACAAAAACCCGGACATAGGAGAGAGAAGCTTGTGACGACGTTTCGGTCCCATCTGGGTTATTTAATTGGCCAAAGTCTGACTGAAACGTCGTCATAAGCTGAGGAGGTCTCGGGCTACCTTCGCCGGGTCGCCGTCTGGAGAAGACCCTGGCCGGGCGTACCTACCGGACCGCAGGGGCGTAACGCCCCTGCGGTCTGTGACCAGGCTAAGGGCTAAAACGTTTTCTAATAAACGTGTCTTAATGTTTACTCACGTGTCTTATTTGACCAAAGTTTATTTCTTTGATTCCTCTGCTTAATGCTTTCATTACTACTAATTGACCTCCATGTTAGGTATTACTGTTTATTTCCTACTACAAGTTCACTTAAAACGCTCGGTCAGTTTAACCTCTGCAAGATCTTACTGAGGTTTACCTACTACAAGCTCACTTAAAACGCTTGGTCAGTTTAACCTCTGCAAGATCTTACTGAGGTTTACCTACTACAAGTTCACTTAAAACCCTCGGTCAGTTTAACCTCTGCAAGATCTTACTGAGGTTTACCTACTACAAGTTCACTTAAAACCCTCGGTCAGTTTAACCTCAGTTTAACAGTTCATTAAAACAGTTTACCTCGCTGCAAGATCTTAACTAAGGTTTACCTACTCCCAGTAATCTATAAAAGAAACAGTCAGTTTGACCCTCCTGTCAGATTGTAGTGTGGTTTACCTACTAATTCACCAAAAATCCACAGTGAGTTTACCTCTCTAAGATTTTACTTTGGTTTACCTACTCCCAATGCAATGAAAGCCCTCCACTAATAAGACGAAACCTCACGACGTTTCGATCCACCCGGACCACTGTCAAATAAAAACTAGGCCCAGGAAAATAGAGAAGGTCAGAAGACTATATGGTAGGCCTTTTCTACAATCCTCTCCCCACTTGTGACTTGACAATGACTCAAGATGGATCGAAATGTCGCCATAGGTTCGTCTCGCAAGTGCGGGTTTAGGTGCATTGTTCCAGTAATGGTATAGAGGAGTTCTTTATAATCCCTATCCACAGTTATGTGAAACACCGTCTATCTTAACATTCAAATATTTCTGATGCATATGCTGTTCCCATTTGTGTTATTTTCTGTTGTATTTCTCACCGTTGTATTTACCTTTGGATTAATGACATTCTGTTGGTCGATCAGGGTCTCCCTTAACAAGGTCACCCTTAACAGGGTAACACTTAACAGGGCAGCCCTTAACAAGGCCATTCTTAACAGGGTAACCCTTAACAAGGTCACCCTTAATAGGGTAACCCTTGACAATGTCACACTTAACAAGGTTACTTAAGGTTACACTTAAGAGGGTCACACTTTTCAAGGTCACACTTAAGGCCACCCTTAAGGTCACACCTAGCAAGGTCACAGTAAATCACCCTTAAGAAGGTCACTATTAACAACTGTATAGAGCTTTATCAAGTAATGTTTCGTCAGTGTAGAGCTTTATCAAGCAATGTTTCGCTCAGTGTAGAGCTTTGTCAAGCAATGTTTCGCTCAGTGTAGAGCTTTATCAAGCAATGTTTCGCTCAGTGTAGAGCTTTATCAAGCAATGTTTCGCTCAGTGTAGAGCTTTATCAAGCAATGTTTCGCTCAGTGTAGAGCTTTATCAAGTAATGTATCGCTCAGTGTAGAGCTTTATCAAGTCACGTTTCGCTCTGTGTACGGATTTATCAGGTCATATTTCGCTCTGTATAGAGCTTTACCAAGTCATGTTTTGCTCGGTGTAGAGCTTTATAAAGCAATAAAGCTCTACACAGGGCGAAACGTTGTCCCAATTACACCTCTTCTAAAATTGCATATGTTTAGTCGGCGCTACGCCTCTACCAGCTATAATTACAGCAATAATTACGCCTCTATAATCTGTAATGGCAGCTATAATTATTGGTGCAATTACGCCTCTACTAGCTGTTATCATAGCTGGCTCATTTTCTCTAGCTCACTTGTTGAGTTGGGATTGTTGAGTTGGGATTGTTGAGTTGGATGTTGAGTTTGGGTGTTATGGATTTTATTGGGCATGTTGAAAGTGGGATTGTTGAGTTGACTTTTGAAATTGGGATTGTTGAGTGGCGATTGTTCAGTTGGAATTGTTTAGTTATATCTGTAATTGGCAGTATATTATTGGGATTACGTTGCAAGCTGGTTGTTAGTTGGGATTGTTGTAGTTGGGATTGTTGAGTTGGGATTGTTGAGTTGGGATTGTTGAGTTGGGATTGTTGAGTTGGGATTGTTGAGTTGGGATTGTTGAGTTGGGATGTTGAGTGGGCATGTTGGGGTGGACATGTTGGTTGAATGCAGTCAAACCGTTGAGGTGACACCCAGGTACCTATTTTACTGCTAGGTGAACAGGGACAGCAGGTGTCTGATGGAAACGTCCTAATGTTTTTCTAGCCTTACTAGGGTATCGATCCCCAGACCTCAGTGTGTGAGGTGAGTGCGTTGACGTTTCGGTCCGTCTTGGACCATTTAACTAGTCACACAAACACACGAAGGTAAGGAAGTCAGTATATATACGAGAGGAGGACAGGAAGGAAGGGAGGGAGGAGGAAGAAAGCAAGAGTAGAGAAGTAGTGGTAGAGGTAATGCTGGTAGTGGTAGTAGACAGGGGGAATAGTGGTGGCTCGTGGCCTGGTAGCGAAAGCTCTCGCTTTACACAGTAGGGTCCGGGTTCAAGTCCGAGGAAAGGGTGAAAACATTGGGCGTGTTTCCTTGCACCAGTTGTCCATGTTTACCCATTAAAAAAAAATGGGTACCTAGGTATTAGTGGACTGGTGTGGGTCGCATCCTGGGGACAAAATTGACCTAAATTGCCCGAAATGTTCAGCATAACAAGCGACTTTCTATATAGTAATATGTTATTGATGTCAGCTATGGCTGTATACCTTGTACATGTACTTGTAGTTAATAAAATTATTATTATTATTATTATTTATTTTTATTATCACACTGGCCGATTCCCACCAAGGCAGGGTGGCCCGAAAAAGAAAAACTTTCACCATCATTCACTCCATCACTGTCTTGCCAGAAGGGTGCTTTACACTACAGTTTTTAAACTGCAACATTAACACCCCTCCTTCAGAGTGCAGGCACTGTACTTCCCATCTCCAGGACTCAAGTCCGGCCTGCCGGTTTCCCTGAACCCCTTCATAAATGTTACTTTGCTCACACTCGAACAGCACGTAAGTATTAAAAACCATTCGTCTCCATTCACTCCTATCAAACACGCTCACGCATGCCTGCTGGAAGTCCAAGCCCCTCGCACACAAAACCTCCTTTACCCCCTCCCTCCAATTATTATTATTATTATTATTATTATTATAAGAGACGAGGAGAGAGTAGCAAGGCAATAGTAGTAGTAATAGCAGAGTGGAATAAGTCTATGGACAAGGAAAAAGTAGACCTGTAGGAGAGGTAATGGCTATAAGGGTGGGACGAAAAACACAGGGAAGGGGAACTGAAGGCAGAAGAAAGGAATAGAAGAAAATAAAGGATAAGAGGTAGAGAGAATAGGAGAAGAAAATATCAGGTCAAGTCATGCGTGTTCTAAGTTTGGGACAATTGACAAAGCCAGGACTAAGATTCATACTAGGAAAGTTACATATAAGGAATGCTTCGACAAGACGGTGACTGTGAAGGCTATGAGGAGGACAGACAGTTTTGGAGATCACGGTCAATAGGATGACTGTGATCTAACATGATAGAAAAGAACATTATTGGTGTCGGCAAGTCTAACACTTCTTTTGTGCTCTTTGACTGTCAGAAAGAGAGCTGTCAGTTTCTCCAAACTATTGAAGAGGACAAGAGGGGCAAGAAATAGAGTAGACACCAGAGGCCTTGATAGCAGGGAGAGAGGTACGACTTAGATTACTATGAAGAGTGATATTTCTAGATGCCATGCTAAGCTCTGGGTACCGGGCTAAGCTCTGGGTACCAGGGTAAGTTCTGGGTACCAAGCTAAGCTCTGGGTACCAGGCTAAGCTCTGGGTACCGGGTTAAACTTTGGGTACCGGGTTAAGCTTTGGGTACCGGGCTAAGCTCTGGGTACCGGCTAAGCTCTGGGTACCAGCTAAGCTTTGGGCTACCGGGTTAAGCTCTGGGTACCAGGCTAAGCTCTGGGTACCAGGCTAAGCTCTGGGTACCGGCTAAGCTCTGGGTACCGGGCTAAGCTCTGGGTACCGCGCTAAGCTCTGGGTACCAGGCTAAGCTCTGGGTACCGGGCTAAGCTCTGGGTACCAAGGGTAAGCTCTGGGTACCAGCTAAGCTCTGGGTACCAAGCTAAGCTCTGGGTACCAGGCTAAGCTCTGGGTACCAAGGCTAACTCTGGGTACCAAGGCTAAGCTCTGGGTACCAAGGCTAAGCTCTGGGTACCAGGCTAAGCTCTGGGTACCAGGCTAAGCTCTGGGTACCAGCTAAGCTCTGGGTACCAAGCTAAGCTCTGGGTACCAAGCTAAGCTCTGGTACCAGGCTAAGCTCTGGGTACCAGCTAAGCTCTGGGTACCAAGCTAAGCTCTGGGTACCAAGCTAAGCTCTGGGTACCAAGCTAAGCTCTGGGTACCAGTAAGCTCTGGGTACCAAGGCTAAGCTCTGGTACCAAAGCTAAGCTCTGGGTCTACCTGGTAATCTTTATTACCAAGCTAAGTTGGGTACACAAGATAAGCTTAAGTTACAGGCTAAAAACTTGGGATTAACCAGACGCTAAGCCTATGGGCTTACCAGTAATAGTCCATGGGCAGAATGAGCTGCCTGGTACAACTAAGTCTCTGGGCCAGAATAGTTGGCTTACCACTAAATAGTACCAAAGGCAAAGGTTGCCTTACCAAATAAATCTGTAAACAGCAAGAATGGGCCTTACCAAAGCTAAGCTCGGTCCAAGCTAATCTTTTGGAAATTTACACCTATCCATGATGCAAAAATATTCTTATCAAATCAATTTTTTTGAATGAGTTTCTGATAAAAAAACCCCAAGGGTAATTGATTCACGCATAACCACTCTGCAAAATATTGTTAAGATTCAAACGCTAAACGTATATTGCTCTATCACACAATAAATTTGTGAAAACGCCAGATAGATGTGTGTTAAACAGGTAACTATTACAAAATCGGAAGATGGATTAGTGCATTACATACAATTA